GACATGCACGGCCAATGAATCAAAATTAAAATTATCAGCACCACATCAACAAAAGCAACAAAATTCTGCAATGTATAACGCAAGAATAGCGGGCAACTAAATTCTCACACGCAATTTTAATTTATCCAAGATTTTACCAGTGTCTTAAAACTTTTAACTTTATTGACTGCCTCAATTCGTTAAGCCTTTTTGTAAAAATATGTTGGTAATACCGACACTACTTAACGTGACGAATATCACCAATTTGGGACTTGATCCAGTCTATGAACAAATTGGACTTATAACTTCATCTATAACTTACCAACATACTGTCTATTATAACGTTACTGCATCAATTACATTACAAAATTAGCCACGCTTAATAGTTTTTGCGAAATTAAACTTAGAGCTGGTTGTAGGGCAAACAAAAACTGATAATGATGATGATGATACATAAGAACCCTACTTCGTGACTAGTTGGAACATGTTACCGCTGGGACAGACGCGTGCGCTACAGTAGCAGACGCAACAGCGCATTCCATTCACAAATCGGATAAATGCAGAATTGTGAAGGTCATTCGGAAAATGAATCCGGCCATGAATCATGATACAAATTAAGTAGGTAGACTCAATACCTGGCTAACATCGCCACAGCATTGGGAATGCGGTTACAAGCGGAAGTTCTGGCAGGAAGGAACGGCTACCCACGGTTTGCCATCGTAATGTACCAGTCACCGGTAGGATCAATTCAAATAACCCCAATAAACTTTATACAAATTTTATGAATTTATTGATTTGATTTTAATCTTGCATGTAACTCGAATCCAATTTGGATAAATAAAGACCAAATGGAATATAATAATGTGTATGCACGTTAATAGCGTTTTCTGAATAGGTAGATAGTTGAATTCCGCAATACTTTTGCTTCCCGCTTGCAAAACGTATGGTGTACTTTCACGGCATCACAATAATGGAAAGACTGGAAAAGATTAGAACATAATAGTGCGGAGGTGGGCGCGTGGGAACGCTCCCAGCGTTCACGTGACCGGCACATCACTTCACTATACTAAATCTAACATTAATATGCTAGATTTAGATAAAACCCCCTGTCGAGCGCAGCGGATTCCCTTGAAGAAGTCATTATTCTCTAGCGAAAGCACAGAATGGAGTGTAGAGGAATCGAGATTTTTATCTGACAAAGAATGCTTTAATTGTCTTGATTTCCCGTTAGAACATTTATTAATTTCTCCACGATAATTAACTTGGGACAATATTGGCGTAAACGATGTGAAAAGCGATATTGATGTATACTGAGGATTGCGTTGTGAAACAAATAAATAAACATACAAATACACGTTTCTTCTTTAATAATTTTAGTGTACATTTCAATTGTTATTCATGTCATTGGAGCTTTAAATATTTATAAGGTTCAAATGAATAATACAAGTGAATGAACTAAACAAGAAAATCAATTATACCATTCCATTCATATAGCCACAGCGATCTATTCGAGCGTAGGTGGCCATAAGTCACCGGCCAATAAATCAGCTCCCATACACGTACCTACGTGTTATTTTATCAACTTTTATTAACAGGCTAAAAGCAAAAATATGTAATATTGTAAACATTTAGAGTACTATTATGTGGAGTACATTCATTACTCAAATTTTATTTTATTTTTCCCGGTGTGTGAAACACCACTATTTTCTTGCAAAATATTGTAACTTACGAGGATGTATACTCCTCTCTCCTTATTTTACATAAGTTTCGCAAACTACATAAGTCATGAATGAGAACACAAGTTATTGAAATGAGTAATATGTCGCGTAGGCCCGTGCGCTCGTTTGACGAGCAATGGCAATAGTGCCTAGTTAGTGGTTCCGGATACGAATCGGACGTGTCGGATGTCGGCGTGAGTCACGCGGCGCCCACGCTCGCCGATGCCGCCGCCGCTGTCTGTGTGCGACCCACCATCTAAGCGCCCACCGATCCTCGCCACCAAACGACAATGCACTCTACAGTAACCTGCACCTTCGAAATACAACTTACTTATACGACTTACTACTTGTTCGTCCCGTCACGTATTATTATAAAAAAAAATCACATCTAAATAACAACTTCGCACTTGATAATGTAATGGCGCAGTTGGGTACTCTTTAACAAAAATCTACGTATTGGTGAGGATCAAGGATAGTAGGTCACGCTACAAAATGGGTTAATGAAGTGAACGTGATAGTAGACAGTGGCCTAGAATTGTAACAAAAATAGGTTGGTGTTTTTAACCGATGTATAATCGCGGTGTTTGATACTGGACAAGTTTAATCTGAACGTGTTATTTCACATATCGTCTAAATTAGACGTGGGGATTGTTGCGACGACAGATTTAGCCAGCGTCTGCGGCGCGTCTAGGCTATTTGCGTTTGGATTTTGGCATTGGACATTTCGCAGTCTCGTGGGAATCGGAGTTGAACGACTGGGGAGACAATGCGGCAGTCTGGGAGGCTTCGGCATCGCGATCTTGGCCAGCCGTTCACCGCCACCGCCCACCCGCGCTAAGCCACTTACCGTCGTCCCAACCCACTATATATTAGTCGCGTATAGTTCTTATTAATTTATGATTTACACCCTCTTAACAGTTAGGCGCTAATTATAAAAAAACGTCGATAGTTTGCTTGAGTTGATTCTCGATCTGCCAAACATAAAATCATTGTGGCATGCCAATTGAAAAAAAAAATTTTCTTTGTCATTTTTCATGTACCTAATAGTAAAGTTACAGGATAATACGTAAAACTAAAGTTATTTATTATGCATACACATAAGTCGGATAGCGTTCTAATCAACTCTAGACAGGAAGTATTTTGTTTACAAATGCCTTGACCTAAGTTACAAGGTTTTTTTTAAAATATCGATGAAGAACGGCAAGTATCTCAAGGACGGCAATATTGAATGAGTAGATATTAATTTACTACTTACATACAATAAACCGTGACATTAATAAATGAAACACTCTATATTGTTCATAATTTATGGCAAGGGAGTAAAGCCGGTCAGAAAAAACTTTATGTGCATGCAATAAGAGCGAATAAGATGCGCATTTCGCTTCGACGGTCCGAGTGGAAACAAAACACGCAACGTCTTTTTCGATGTCATAGCATAGACTTTAAACTTTTCCCAGCTAAATACACATATTTATTCCGAGTCGACAAGTGTGGTAACTGGCCCTTTCAATAACTCATGACTACAATATGGGAGAAGTGGAATAACGTAGGAACTTATCCTTCAATATTGTAGCAGGTGTGGAGGGATGTAATTTTCAAACATCCATCATTTTTATACAGGGTTAAGAGCACGTTAATTCTATTCTATACGGTGCTTACAATAAGAACGGCTCAAATCCAAAATGTCAAGCTTGATGTGCTCTTGACTGTACAGGAACTAAATAAGTTTTTCTTTTATTTATTAATTGTAACCTAACGCTAATGAGGCTGTTAGTTATTAAGACAATTAATAAGTATCGAAATCAATTCATTCTTGATTGGACTGAATGGGATGAAATTCACCTGTTTTTAAATGACGTCAAAAAAGGAGGAGGTTCTCAATTCGACTGGATGTTTTCTTTTTGTATGAATGTTACGCGATAGCTTCTCGCCATTTGTGAACCGATTTTGATGATTCTTTTTTGTTGGAAAGACCTGTGATGGCGTCTCAGTAGTGGTCCCATTTAAGTTTCGAGAAAATATTCCACCGCTAAGGATGGCAAACTAGGGGATGAATGACTTTTGAGGTCGGTTTTTTATTACTACGTACGAGATTATTATTTTTTAAACACGTTGACTTTATTCTGATTAAAATAATTAGAACATTTTTCCTGGGAATTCCCTTACACTGAAACTGAATAAATAAGCAGACAACCCTGTAACTTTGGGGTCGATAGGCGTTGGAACCGTGCCAAGCCCGCCTGTCGCGTCGTCGGGCGACTCGCCGCGACACATAAATCCGTCCGCGACTAAAGCGCTAGTTCTCAAACCAATGAAACTGTGAAAGACAATAACAATACTCATTTCGTTTTATTGTTTCATGTATAAAATATGATAACATCAAAAGTTTTTGGCACTACAAAAATATCACCAGAAACAATGTTATTCTCACGCCAGAAGTACTTATCAAAATTCGTTGTTTTAAATTGCACATCATAAGAACCCTGGGCATACTATTTTCGATGATTGCTATCTCACATCTAGCGACAAAACAACCAAATTGTATTGTAAATGGTTTGAAAATTTGTATCTACTGGCTGAAATTAAAATGCATGTAAATATATGGGTAAGTATTCGGCTTAGAAGTTAGAGTCCAACTTAAAATTGTTAAAAAGCTACTTTGTCGTACAGTGCTTACTTTGGAACTATGAAAAAGCATAGTTAGGAAGTTAAAAGACAGTAACATTGGAAGCACATCGGACAACGTAATAATGATTTCGAATGGTTTGTTATTTTTGGAAGTAGGTGTAAAACTTAATCACATCTACATTAGAAGATACAAAAACAATAACTCGTTCATGTAGGTACTTTTTGTAAATTATAATTATTAAGTATAAGCCTATATTTTAAATCTTAAAACGTACCTACCTCCACAGTGATTTTAAGTCACCTAACCTATTAGACATGGAATAGCGACAGACTACAGTCATACTTACACAAATAAATTCTACATAATAGTTTGAATAGTTTTCTTATACATACCCCACCTGGAAAAATCTTACCTACTTACACTTAGAAGTGTAAACCAGATTACCTGTTCGAGTACGAGCTTTAAATTATTCTAAGACTGCGATCTTGCGATAAAAGGGTTACCTTTAAATAAATAAATAAATAAATAATAACGCACACACTGAACATAGGGAGACCCTGTGTCGCGGGTGCCATGGACACACACATAGACAATCACAAATTACACCCAAACTAACGAGAGAAATAAATGTAGACCATACAAATATTTTTCGCAGCCCGGGAATCGAACCTGGGACCGCTGCGTGGCAGTCGTCATGGTAACCGTTCGGCCACGGAGGCAGTTAAGTTAAGTTTGTATAAGTGTTCATCGAAAATTGTATAATGGTTGTTTCAGATGAGCGGCAAGCGTACGCGCAGCTATAGATGCGCGGTACATCAGCGCGACCGCGAAGTTTGCTCCGAAAACGACTTCCATCTGCTGCTTGAAGACCCCACATTATTTGCCAGGTCAGTTTTTAACTAAGAGCCTTGTTTCATACAATCGTTTTTGCAATTAGGCGAAAGAAAGAGATGGCTATCATTTACGGTAATGTAAACAATAAATTGTAATAACGAGCAACCAAAAAGATTGATAATGTAAAATCAGGTGTGTTTCAACTTGTCATTAATAACTTTTTACCTCATTTTCACTAAGTAAAATTTTCACTTAACGATGTAGAAACCTAAAATGTAATTGCAAAATGTAATTGTATTCTGTTTAATTTTTGAAATCAAAATTATGGTTTCAAAATTATTTCGTAAACGTTAAATTTTAGTGAAAACTGTAAATTCTAGTCTTGTATCTATTGTTGCTAAAAGTGTTTTTTATGTTGTCTGTCGTGTCACGCTGACATGTGTTGTGCTTCGTTCAATAAAAAAGTTAATAAATTACTATTAAATAGAAAATAGCTTTGTAAACGTAAGTTAATTGACCAAGATTACCCTTAGGTAATGCCCAATACACACTTCACTTTTCTAGTTAAACATGAGAAAGTTTTCACTTTTCTCAGAATTCCTACCTTTTATCTAACCACGAAATCATTTAGGATAAACTATCAGATAGTTACTCTATGCTTGTAGAAGAGGCAAACAATTCCATATATTTTCTTTACACTCATTCTACCATTAGTTTCATTCATAAATAACTTAGCCTGAATATAGTGCCTATTGTTTTGTGTTTGGCTCTTGAGAACAAACAGGATAAAAAATGTTTAAGTCAGGAAAACGAGTATTGAATAAATAATAGAGAAATTAACAAAGGTGTTATTTTTATTGTACACAGGATGGTGCACTTAGTGGCGATGGAGGTGCTTCCTGAGGAGCGGGAGCGAAAATACTACCAAGAGAGGTATACCTGCTGCCCACCACCGCTCTTCATTATCTGTGTCACTTTACTAGAGGTTAGTACTGGTAATTATTTTGTACTTTAATAAAATATCGGTTCATTTTCTACACTTTCACTTTACATGTAGGTACAATAAATGTAATAGTAATAATAACAAATGCCACAAGTTACGCAATAGTTTATTTATTAAGATACACGGAACAAGTAACAACTAAACCATTTCCACTGCTATTTGAAACCCAATGTCGTATCCAATATCCGCAAGTTGTTTGAAACGAATGGCTATGAAATCAATAGCGTATAAACCGTAAAGCGCATCATATTTCAAGGTGATTGAGACCAGATTTGGGCTTTTGACTATAGCCGAGCGTGCAGAGCATCACTTTCTACTAGCACCGTTCGATACACGCTACAGTTACTCGGTTAATTAAAAAGTGTAATTGCGGATTTCACATCCGCACAAACAAACGGTTTACGTTAATCATTACAATTGGTTCGACTTGAAACGTATTGCGAGCGGCACACTCGTCACACGTTGATTCACCGCACACCCATTCTGTAAAGGCGCTGATGCGCTCTGCTATATAGATAAGCAATAAGCCACACGTAGATTTCTGGTAACGGATTTTCCTCCATGAATAATGAATCAGGTCACTGGCTACGTAAATCTCAGTCCAAGGATGTTTATTGGACTTGAATGAAACAGTCTGCTTCATTAAAAAGTTATCGCTATTTAGCAGAGGCGGCTCGTGGGGGATTCCAGTAGGAGTTCACTTACCTATACATATTTTAAATAAAAAATGAAAGTCACATTATAGTTTTCCATTTTAAACAATGCCACTAAACAACACTACGCTTCTTAACAACGATTGAATAATAAGAAATTTTACAACACATAAAATGCGCGCCAAAAAAATACGGTTTGCTTATTTGCGCGGAGCGCCGCTCAAATCTTGCTTAAATTTCCTCATACTAATCTTTTGTTTCACGTGTCGCGCCATTTAGAAATTTCTTTTTCGCACTCATAGAATTCAGTACTGAATTTTGTAAACAATGTCGGTTCATAGGAGCGCATCGCGAAGCGCTCCACTCAAGGGTCAGTATGCTATACTATATTAAAGAGAAAGTTAAAAATCTAATTGTATGTCTGTCGTTCATTAATAAAAAAAAAATACTGCGGTTACTAATATAATATGAAAGCATAATTAATAAATTTATTTTGGTGGGTTGGATAGGAGTGGGAGTTCACTGCACCAGCGCTCCTTAGGACGAACCGCCTCTGCTACTTACTAAGATAGAATAATGTCAATAGGGATTCGACGAAATACGATATTAGTTTTCTTACTCAGTTAAATTAGTTTATCACTATTTATTGTTGCAGGACAATGATTTCTGTAAATGTTATTATCTTGCAGAAGACCAGCCAGACTCAATTCACATGTCAACATAAATCGGTGGCTTCTCTATTCTTACTATGGTAGCCTAGGTTTTATAACATTTTTTTTTGTTGTTGTAGCTGGGCGTGTTCGCATGGTATGCTTGGGGTTCAGGCGGAGTAGCGGCGACGGCAGGTCCCGTGCCCGTGGACTCGCCGCTCGTCTACCGGCCCGATCGGCGGAAGGAGCTCTGGCGGTTCCTCACCTACAGTGTTGTGCACGCCGGCTGGCTGCACCTCGCCTTCAACCTGCTCGTGCAACTTGCAGTAAGCTTGCAATACTAAACATTCCTACCATTAAAGTTTTATTGAATCAATATTCAATTATTTTTTTGTGAAATTACTCCACTAGTTTGTTCTAATGTTACTACAAAGATGAATAATTATAACGAATATTAAATTAAATAAATACTAAATTAAATTATGACGAAATTTTAACAGACTTCTATTTAGATGGTGTATTTTCTATATCATCACGCCAATTTACCCATAACGTCTTAGTATTTTCAATAACATCATAATATTGTATCATTGAGATCCGGTGGTACAGGGGGTCTACTCTCGATCTCCGTCCGAAACAATTACTGTCAAATAAGTAACATTCGACAAAATTAAAAGACAAGTATCAAGTATGAAGCTTCATTCGCATCACGCGTCTTTTCATTTGGTCAAGTATTGCTTATTTATAAAAAAAGTTGAAAAACCAAATACAAGGATCCGACAACAAGCACAGAATAATTTGTGAGTGTCCTCTGGTTCGTTCCGTGGCTTAGTTGGCATAGCGTCTGGCACGGTTTGCTAGGAGACGTTGGTTCGAATCCGGCCGGATCGAAGAAATTTTTCTAAGTGTTCGTATTAATAATTATAACATTCCTACCATTTATTCTGATTTCTGGAACTATATTATGTCAAACCATATAGGCACATACGTAGTCTTATTGTAGGTAGTGGTAAAAATATGTCTCATTTTGTATTTTGATTTTACTCATAGGTGGGTCTACCTCTAGAGATGGTTCACGGTGCTCTACGCTGCGGCGCGGTGTACCTCGCAGGAGTTCTGGGAGGCTCTCTTGCAGCGTCAGTGCTCGACCCTGACGTTTGCCTTGCGGGTGCTTCAGGCGGCGTGTACGCGTTACTAGCCGCGCATCTCGCCAACGCACTGCTCAACTTCCACGCGATGCGATATGGCGCCGTGAGATTAGTCGCGGCACTGGCCGTCGCGTCGTGCGACGTCGGCTTCGCTGTGCACGCGAGATATACTAAGGTGAGGATAGAAATCGACATAGTGAAGTTTTAGTATTTTATCTAGACTAGGATATTCGCAGCAACATTAGGTACTAGTGCAGTTTAAATACCAAAATATTAGGTGATCTTACGAACGGTTTACCAAGGCCAATCAAAACAATGCTTTGATTATTTTGATATTTGTTTGTATCGTAGGAAGCGCCGCCGGTATCATACGCAGCACACGTAGCGGGCGCATTAGCGGGACTGACCATCGGGCTGTTAGTGCTGAAGCACGCACAGCAGCGGCTGTGGGAGCGGCTTCTTTGGTGGGCGGCGCTGGGTGCTTACGCAGCCTGCACGTTATTCGCCGTGCTGTACAACGTATTCAGCATGCCAGTCGACGAACTGCACTACATGCCCCCCGACCCGCCGCCTGACGTCGCCGGCTTCTGACCGCCCCGCCGCACCAAGCGCCATATTGCCCGGCCGGATTAAGCTACGAAGCGACACTATTCTGCCATGAAAGATAACTTGTATGAATTGTAATTACAATATCCCAAAGGAATAGTGTTACTTCTAAAATCAATATTATTTTTTTGTCGATTTATTTTCGATAGCCTAGTCCGGTCAGCTGGACGGCACACTCACAACACGCCTAGTCAATTTACCTTAGTGTGATTCGCGATAAGTAGCGTTATAATTTGAGGAGGCTCGTCTTGCTCCAACGTTTATACACGTGAATTTGTACGTTCAATCTAAGATGTGTTAATTCAGTAACAATACCTATGATATAACCCCGAGGAAACTACATTCTAAACGTAAACGCGTAACTTAATAGGCTATTTGGAGCTATTAAGTTCTCTTGCAAATGGATACTCAAACGTGAGATTTCTAAATGATATTCTGTTCATCAAGGTATATCAACCTCAGTGTTATATGTGTATATAATGAGGTTGTCATTTTTTGTTTGCAGCGACCTCCTCGCTATACTTAATTGTTAAGTAGTCTTAATTATATTGGATAGGCGAATTATTTTTGTACCTAATCAGCGTCCGTAGTTATAGGAGGAAGGCGTTACCGCGACACATCACTTTGTCCCGTGCATACCGATCACCACACTAAATGCTCTACTAAACAAAATAAAACCTCTTTATTCCATATTCAATATACCTCTACAGCAGAGTATTTGGTCGAGGTGTTCGGCTTAATTATACCCAGCACACCAAAGATTAGGTTAAAATAGCACCCTAGTGTGGAACAGTGATTTCCATAAACTTTTTGAGCTTTGAAACTGATTTTATTGTGATTAGAATTTAACTTCAACTTTGCTCACCCAAACTGAATATGCCTCAATTGTTTTAATTAAACGTGAAGTGAAATAAAGTTTGGAATAAGCATATTGTTATTGCTCAATTGCAACTGTTTTTTTAATCCATGATGATTATGCTCAAAAGCGAGTTTTATTATTTTATTGAATCAATTGATTATTATTATTATACTCTTCTATTACAGCACGTAAGAGAGTTTGTCCATTTCGTCCTAAACTTCGGCATTTTAGAGAACAATTTCTCAAGACTCATTAGTGTAGTTTTAATATTTATAATGTGCCTGATTCCTATTATTATAAATTTGATTGTACACTAATTCTAATCAAATAATGTCATAAAACGACTGAATTTTCGTATAAATTATTGCAGTGTTTTTCATTTAATTTATTTTAAATTTATTTTAAGTGTGAATCGAGATAATTATAATTATGTGATTATTATGAATGAAAATAAGAATGAGTAATGATTAAAGAGTGATTTGAAAACTTATCGGCGTCTTTTTGTGGCGACTATTCTGGGATATGAATGAAAATGCGGTTTATAACTTGCATTAAAATTTAATAAATACATATAACAAAATTCAACAAGAATACCAACATTTATTCGACATTCATACACTAAGTACAGCATTTAATATCGAACTTCAATTACTTATTTATAATTATTCCATTGTTATTTGCTGGTAGCTCAAGATCTTTAATATGGCCCTGTAAAAGTTTAAAAGCACACAAACCAAGTTCTTAAAAGTATCCGACCAGTTAACAGAGTCAAGCCGAGTATGAAGCTGTTTGACTATACAAACTATGTAGATACGAGCGAAAATCTTCCGCGGAATGCGCGAACGTCCTCAAGCATGCGCGAGAATTCCGCGGATTGCGCGAGAATTCCGCGGCTCGTAGAACGTTACACAATTGACCATAGAGTTCATTATGCTACGTATGGACGGCAGCATATCAAGCTACACATTGACAGATCTTGTTCCCATTGTTTGGCGGCGATATTCGAACAGAAGTGTGTAGTTTGATAAACTGTTGACTGTACAATACCGCTACAAAAATTCGCTTCCATTCCGTTCCGCCGCACTATAAAGCTCCATCAGGTAAATCCCCGAGGGAGTCGCAGGAAGGGATTCAAATGTACAGAGGGGTCGTGCCGGGTATACGTCTGCTAAGGCTCTCCGAAGCTAATGGCAACCATAAAATTTTAAGACCATACTGGCCCAAAGCGGGTTGGGGACTGAAATCCCACTAGTAATATACTTGTCTAAACTTTCTACGACATTAAGCATTTATCAGCAGACTTTTCCCTAACGTTCAAGCAAGTTTTCGCTTTTTTAAATTTTACAGGAAGGGGAAATCTTTTCAAAAAAAAAATCTAGTTGGTACGACATTGAATCGTGACGTTTTCAAGTTTATCAATAGATGTCTCTGTAATCCTAGCGGACACGCGAGATTTAACATGTGTGAAGCCTGCATGCATTTCACGATTTAATTCCGCCTTTCCCATGCTATCATCGGGGGACTAGACGTAGGCTGGGGGTCCACCCCCATGTTGTGGACATTCCGAAGATTCGCAAGAAGCGTTTCGCTTCCACATTTATACGGCGAACGGCTAAGGAGTGGAATATCCTACCTGCAGACTTATTCCCTGACAAAACGCTATAACTTGTGCCTTTTCAAGGCGAGAGTGACTAGGCATTATTTAGGTGTGTGCTACATCGTCGACCTCATCGTCACTATCACCGTTATCAGCGTCCTGATTTTGATTCAAGTTGGAATCGATCCGATCGGGTAGTCTCGAAATCGGATGGTTTCTGAGCGAGAAGATGAATATTCATTAATTCATATAATTGTGAGTTAAATCAATTCAAATCATTGTTCCGATTAGAAATGTCAAAAGTTTCCGATCGGCCAATTATGCGCCTCAACTCGGAAAAGACCCAATTTCCGATCGGGAGAGGCAATCAAAATCAAGCTGCAGGTGACATGGAGGTGAAATGAGCAATTTGTTTTTATTAAAAAAAAAAAAAGCTGAAAAGTGGATTTAAAAAATGGGCGCTGCGCAAAATCGTGTCTTGTATTGGATACAAGCAACCGCGCAATTAAAAGCAAATATTCTATCCTCATGCAATTGCGATTGCCGTAACCGGCGACTGTGTCGACTTCATATTAATTGTATGAAATAGAATATTCGCTTCTAGTTGCCGGTTGCTTGTATCCAACACAAGACACAAGTTTGTGCGGCGCCATATTGGATATAAAAGGTTTTAATAGTAAAAAGACGAAGTAATAATTTCAAAAATTACATATTTAGTTCGAAAATGACTAGTGTGACAGATAGACATCTGAAGAAACAGAACCCATGACCACATAGGAGGTAAATATTTTCACAACTAAGGTATTGCATGATGATGGAAATTTCCATCATAACATTTACATTAGTGAACAAAAAATTGTACCCAAATCAGGTGTACTGTAAATTGGTTGTGTGGGCAACTTTTTTCACGACTATTGCGTATTATGGAACGTAGCTGTCATAAATATCAAATGTCAATCATTTCTAGCGGATTTTACTTGTCATTCCGCTGTTTTGTTGTGGTTGGAATAAACGTGCGATTTCTTGAATATTTTTTATAACTAATCTGAGATAGATAGCTAAAAAAAGTGATAATGAGTGGAAAAAAGGTTTGTTTTTGTGTTTCTATTATTTTCTGTGCAATTTATATCGAATACCCCAAATAATCTTCCCAAAACTATGTGACAGAAATTTACATCACTATGCAGTTTCACTTCTAATGTTAGACGACAATGTTTTTTACTCAATGTTTATTTCATGTTATTTTTGTAGAGATATTTGGAAGAGAAAGACATTGAAGATTACTTGGACCAGTTAGTTAGAAGGCGGTTGGCTCTCGGAAGTGGCCTTGATGACGAAAATTCTGACGACGAGTACCGCGATGCAGATGAAATTATAAGAGTGTTGCAGACGGAGAATGACGATGATGATTTGGTAGACGAAATTGCTGACACTGATCCTCTTGTAGAAGATGACTACAAAGAACACCAGGAACCCTCTCGCTCATCTACTTCAACTCTTATGCTCACTTCTTCTTTTTCATTTGACAAAAGAAAAACCATATGGAAAAAAGTAATATGGTGCATGATAAAGATAAGATTACTTTCTTGGGAAGTTCTGCTCCTTCAGATGAGATATCACAACTGGAAACCCCATATCAGTGTTTCACCCACTTCATCACAAAAGATTTTATTAATAGATTAGTGGAGCAAACAAATTTATATATAATACAAAACAATCCTAGTTCTTCTGCATCTTTTACAGAATCTGATTTGAACATGTTCTTCGGTATACTTTTGTACATGTCAGTACAGAAATTTCCCAGCACTAGATCATACTGGTCTCCAAAATCTGGATATGACCCGATTTGTTCAATAATGCCACTTAATAAATTTGAGAAGATAAAATTATCATTACAAACAATAATGAACTTCATAAACCTGTAGGCCATCCAGAACATGACAGGCTTCATAAAATCCGACCTGTAATCCAGCACCTCAACGAGAGATTTGCCACAGTGCCAATGGACCAAAGACTTTGTGTGGATGAACAGATGTGCGCTACAAAAGTAGGGCACTTTCTCAAACAATATCTGCCCAATAAGCCCCAAATGGAGTTTCACGTTATATGTACTTTGTGATTTGATGGGATATGCCCACAAATTCGAAATATACTCTGGACAAGAAAATTCGGACAACCTCTCAGGTGAACCAGATCTTGGTGCAACAGGAAATGTTGTAGTCCGCTTGATACGAGGAGTACCAAGAATGGTCAATCACATCATTTATTTTGATAATTTTTATACCTCATTACCATTAGTATATTTTTTAGCTAAACAAGGGGTTCACACTGTAGGAACTGTGCAACAAAACAAAATCCCAAGAAATAAATTACCCGAACGAAAAGATTTCATGAAGATATCAGTGCCCAGGGGAAGTTATGAGGAAAGAGTCTCTACGGTAGATGGTGTTGATATGAGTTGTGTAGCATGGAAGGATAATAGGGTGGTAACCCTGTTATCCACATATGCTGGAGCATTGCCTGTCACTGAAGCCTCTAGATATGACAAGTCAAAAAAACAAAAAATTGGTATTCCTTGCCCATTTATTGTCCAAGAATACAATAAACATATGGGAGGAGTTGACCTTATGGATAGCTTCCTGGGAAGAAACTACATAATTTTGAGATCTAAAAAGTGGTATCTACGTATTTTTTTTCATTTACTGGATCTTGCAGTGATAAATGCTTGGATTGTCCATAGAAAAAATGCTCAGGAAATTAATGTACCAAAGAAGAGTCTGCTTACATTGGGCCAATTTAAGAATGAGTTGGCCTTGGTGTTATGCAACAAAGGAACCAGCAAAGGTGCTAAAAGAGGGTGTCCAAGCAGCAGTGCCATAGAAGAAGAATTACTGTCAAAAAGAAAAAAAGGATCTCCAGCTCCTCCACCTTCAAAAGACATAGGGAAAGATGGTTTTGAACATTGGCCAAAAGTAGGTGGGTCACTCCGGTGTAAATACCCAAAATGTAAAGGGTATTCTACGATCTCATGCAGTAAATGTGGAATTAATTTATGTCTAAATAAGAATAATAATTGTTTTTTTAATTATCATCAAGAATAAAAATGATGCAAAGATTTGTTGTTTTATTTATTTTGTACTGAGCTTATAACATGTAATTTGCATGATGATGGAAATTTCCATCATACTGTTTTTTGATTATTTTATAATATTTATTAGTACTAGAATTTTTTGCACATTTTCCCCTAAATCTAGAGCATGAATTAGATCACCCTAATTTGGTACTTGGTACTTGGTGCAACGGGCTGGTATCCGCAACTCGACGACAAAGCGCCTATTTTGCGTGTCACCCTAATTTATTTCACAAAAATCATGCAAAGAAGGGTTTAAACACCTCTAGACTAAGAACAACTAAAAATAAAGAGTTGAGTGGATTATTGACAAGAAGTGTATTATTAGTTTCTTCTAAATAGTGCTGTGTCTTACAATATATAGATTCAGATATAATATTTGCGTACACTATCTGTTATATAACTTACTGGCTTGCATGAAGGGCCGGGTGTAATAAGGTTTATCAGCATAGGACAGGTAAGTATTTGACAATAGCGAAAGGTATAAAACATAATGTGCCTTGATCAAAGTATATAATAATCTGTGATCGGATTGAGGGAGTTCATCTACCTACATTATGAACGTTTTCTTAGTACGGTCATACCTATTTCGTCATCAATGCACATAAAATTTCTTTTTACTGTTATTTTCTAAACAGTCCAAAATATAGGTAAAGTATTTAAATACGTAAGTACCTATAGAAACACAACTACATTATACTTAATAGGAAATAATGATTTGTCGCCAATAATTGAATATTATTGAAGTACTCTACTAGATTGTTATTATTATTGGCATAAATATCGACTGACCTAAGAAAAATTCCCTCGAACTGACTGGACTCCAACCAGTGTCTGTTGCCATGCTGAGTTTTGCAGTGTTGGTATGGTGTTTTCAACATTCCTCAACTTAGCGACGACGAAGGTGAAAAAATACTTAGATTGTAGTCAACTTTAACCTACCTTTTCAAGCGAGTTAAAGTAGTCATATCGAGTTCTTAGGTTTTCGCGATTGTTACACATGGGAAATGAGTCTCTGAGTCAGCCATGACCTTGGGATCTGTAAAGGGCCCAAAACGTTGGTTTATTTGAAAAAACAAATATACGCAATTTAGAGCCGAAAAAATAGTTTCATTTCCTATAAAGAAGTTGTGACATAATTTTCATAATATTCTTAATTCTGATTTAGTGTAAAAGTCTTAGACTTACTAATACATAGTACGATCACTTCTCACAACTTATAACGTTGTTTTAATTGTTGATTAATATGGCAATTAACTAAAGTAAATTCAAAAATAGCTGCGAAATAGGCCAACTGTGGCGCGGACCCAAAGCGGTTGGCGTCTCTCTTGCAATTCCACACTACATTCTGTGGAATAGTTGTGAAGTTCGGAACACTCGTCATGTAGTCGCTGCTGAAAATTTTAAATAAACCGGGTTATATTTAAAATACTAGCAAACTCGCAGGACTTGAATACTAACATCATAAACAACAACTTTTGTTCCATGACTGTTTACAAAACATATTAAACTTTACCAAAAATAAACTTTTAAGTTTTTGTTGTACTATCTGACACTTTTTAGAACTGTATTAGTAAGGTAAGTTCAAACGTGCAAGCGTACTCCGTTAAATTCGCCTCGCGACGACTTATTACCGCTTAGAAATATCTATTTAAATCTATTTATTTTTGTATAAAAGTAAAATCTGATGAATTATTAAAAGTCATGGAACAAAAGTTGTTGTTTATGAAATTAGTAATATAGTCTTGCGAGGTTGTTAGTATTTTAAAAATAGCCCTGTCGAATCTACTAACTAATACTTCTTAAATTATGGCGACAAAAATGTTAATATTGACACACAATCATAGTATAATAAGACAAGTAGTGTAACTCCATTCCATACAGCCGTAGCAGTGTGTGCACCCGGCTGCGCCCGCTACGCGCCGTGTTACAACGTACATATACGCACAACCACGCAATGCACTCGCGTTAAATAGAATTGAAGCGGGCTCTAGGTGTTTAAAAAATGACCTCATATAGTAGATCGTGTGCATTGTTGTGTTTATGCTTGTTTGAACAAGAGTGTCCCAAATTCAGAATTGATTAGAATTTCATATCTGTTTCATGATCAAAGGCCTATAATCGAGATGCATAAATGCTGTTAAATATATGGCACGAGAATACTGTGATGAACACCTTAATTTTTAAAATTTTTGTTCACACCCAACATCTAGCCGTGGTAGCCTAATGGTTTGATCTAGATATGAGCGCCGATAATAGAGACCAACCGGCGGCGGCGCGAGAGTGACCCTAAAACGAATTTGTATAGCGGTGTTTGTTTTTACAAAAACCATTATACAAATACTTTTTCAAAGGAAAAAATAAAATAACGTAATTTCTATAGTAATCAAATTTTTATCAGTTCGATAAGGCGCACCGATCGTACGCACGCGCATGCTGCCGTATTGTGTGTGCGTAGTGAAAATGGCGACGCCAGAAATTGACAAATAAATTTTTTAAACAAAACATCTTTTAAATATAAAGTCACTAACTAACTTTTGTCGAACTAATTTTTGTCTTGAGCGAACATTCGATTTGAGTGGTCTTAGAAGGCTACTCTTCCGAACATATGGCGATAAATTCCTCAGGGTTCCGTACTGTCTGCAACTCTCTTTCTGCTGCATATCAATGGTATGTTAATTCCAGGTACCTTTGCGTATGCTGATGACAACACAGTTGTAGATAGGTACTTGACCAATGCAAGGGTCAGTGGAGAGGAAATCTAGTCTTATCGAGAGTCCATGGATAGCCGTTTGGATTTGACACTCAAGGCAGTCTCCGATTGGCGCGATGCCAACTTTGTCAAATTTAACGCTACCAAAACGCAGGCGTGTCTATTCTCCACAAAACGGAGTCCCTTTGAGCTGACTCCGACTTTTCGTGATATATCCATACCGATAGCCCACTGTCTCCAGCTACTTGGAATGAACCTGTCGTCCAATTTGTACTTCGGCAGATACATTGAATCTATGGCCAAACATGCAGCAAAGAAGCTTGGGATCCTTTCCAGGGTGAGGCGTTACTTCACACCGGAGCAGTTGCTTCAACTGTACCAAGCACAAGTTCTGTCGTGCATGGAGTACTGCTTTACCTTTAGGATGGCTCTGCTACAAACCAACTGGCCACCTTGGATTCAATTGACAACCGTGCCAAGAAGCTTATATATAGGTGACTCGGAGTTATTGGAGGCGAAGCTGCAGAGCCTTGAACACCGCCGTAAAGTTGCCTGCTTATGAGTATTTTACAGGGTATATCACTGAGAGCGTGCGATGGAGTTACACGATTTAATTCTGCTTTCCCCTTTCCATCACCGGGGGACTAGGCGTAGGCGTGGGTTCCACCTTATGTTGTGGATATTCCAAAGATTCGCACGAAGCGTTACGCGTCCACATTTATATGGTGAACGGCTAGAGAGTGGAATTCCCTGCCTGCAGACTTGTTCCCTGAACTTTTCAAGGCGAGAGTGAATAGGCATTATATAGGTGTGCATGCTCCATCGTCGACCTCATTGTCACTTTCCATCAGGTGACATCTCAAATCAAGGTGAGAGAAACAAGGTGACATCTCAAGAGGTCAAATGCGAACTTATATTTTATAAAACAAAAATTATCTTAGAAAAGTCATTTTCTGGCGTCGCCATTTTCACATACACAATACGGAAGCGTGCGTGTGCTTACGACCGGAGCGCCTGATCGAACTAAACGGCGCGCCGATTGCATTTGTCGGCGGCGGCGGCGCGAGGATAAACGCGGCGGCGACGGCGCGCCGGCGCGGCTCTCATATCTAGTTTGATCTAACACCTCTCAAGCAGAGGCCGTGGGTTCGAATCCGAGCTCGTACCTCTGGCTCTTGCCGAGTTTTTGTGACCGTCAAGATGGCTGGTCGCCTGTCACTGAGTGTATACTCAAGAATTGCTACCTATTTGCTACCTTTTCTAAATAATTGCTACCTATGATATATTCTGAGAAATTAAAAAAAAAATTTGACCAGCCATTCTGACGTCAGGATGGCTGGTCGCCTCTTTGTTCAGCATGAAGGGAGCAGATTTTCCAGAAATATGTATTATCAATAATTGCTACCTATTTGCTACCTTCACGAATTAAAGGTATATGCTTCATATCTACATTAATTTAAAAAATATAAGCGATTGAAAATTTTGCGAAAAAGTGCCTGACTAAACTAAAAAAGCAAAAGTTTTTAATGCTTTATTGCCATAATATAAAGGGCAGGCGTTCAACAATCACTTCGAGGCGAACTAGTCTGGTGAGATTGCTAATGTATAAAACCGAGAGGGTAGGTAACCATCATAACGCAACATTAACAAAGAATTTAGTTGTAATTATACAGGGTGGCCGGAATAGTGACGTCCAAAAAAAAAATTTAGGTGCCTCACATTGAGAGGTATCCGAATCACCCCCATGTATGTTCCGCGATTTTTCGTAGTTTTCGAGTTATGAATTTTTTGAAATTTTTAACCTGATCGAAAAAAAAAATTTTTTTTTTTCAATTCTTGCAACTTTTTTTTTTGTAACCTAATCTTTATGAATTGTACTTTAATGCACAAAATAATCGGCTTCATAACATCAATGGAAGCTATGAAAGTTTTGACTCAAAGTGGGAATATCGCGTTCGAACAAGTTGAACTTGAATTTTCAACTTCAAATTAAAAATCTAAACCGGCAATTCCATAGCTCTTGGGTAACTTTAAAAACTGCGCTAGACTCTTAACTTTTGTATGAATACAAAAAATCTAGTGCTTAATGTTGTGTACTCCTAATTACACACAATACACTGGCTCGGCAACACACGATGTGCGCAGGCGACACGTCCGCTCTCGCCGGTGGCTCACGCAGTGATCCGCGCGCCCCGCCACACCGCGTGCACGAGACAGTGTTTGGCTATAATTATAGTTAAAGCCTAATACAAACACTACACTTAATACGACTTTATTCGCTGAAATCAGCCTTCAAAGGTATTGAGGTCGAAAATTCCTATGAGAGTAATTTTACTAAAAAAAAATATTATTGCCTATTTTATCTTTCCTAAGACTCATTATGGCAGAAAGTGTATAAACCAATAAAATTATAAGTGGAAGTAAACAAAATCTGGACATTTTCAATTTAATTTATTTTTAATCAAATAAAAAAAATACGGCCTATTTTATCTTTCTTAAGGATAATTACGGTAGAAAGCGTATTAACTAACAAAATAATAACTTAATAGCTTTTAATATTTTTTTGATTTTTTAATTTTATTTTTATAATTCATTTAATAAAACACAGTTGATTATGATGAAAATACATTTATCTACAAAAGGTTTTCAAAATGACGGCCTCTAACAGAAATGCACATCCTACACCTACGCAAGAAATTTTGTTTCAATCTTCGAAAACCTTGCTGTTGCCTTTTACAGCACGTCCGGCTTCTTGGATTTTTTCCCTTAGTTCTTGTTCATTCAAACATGCTCGGGCGTATGTTATTTCTTTGTAAAAACCCCAAACAAAAAAGTCGATGGGGTTGAGGTCAGGTGAGCGTGGAGGCCACCTAATTGGTCCATTTCGTCCGATCCATCTGTTCGGGTACATTCGGTCCAAATAATTTCGCACTTGTGTTGCGTAGTGACATGGTGCGCCGTCATTTTGAAATACCATTGTTCGTAGAATTTCAAGATTAACGTCTTCCGTCAACAGTGGTAGATCGTTTTCCAAAAAACTTTTATAGATATCTGCATTAAGTCTTGACGGCAGTTCAAACGGTCCAATTAATTCTCCATTGAGGATACCAGACCACATATTCACACTAAATCGATGTTGAAAAGTTGAAGGTCTCGCCCCGTGTGGATTTTTGACCGCCCATGTGTGGTAATTATGAATATTAAATATTCCACATCGCTCAAATCGTGACTCATCAGTCCACAAAATTTTATTAAAAAATTGGGGATCCTCTCGCTGTTTTCGCAACATAATTCGGCAAAAATCAGCCCGCAATTGATAATCTGTGGGCAGTAAAGCTTGGACACGCCGAATATGATATGCGTGGTATCCTTTCTCGTGAATTATCTCTTGGATAGACGATCTTGGGATGCTTAGTGTACGAGCCATAATTCTCGTACTCGTTGATGGACACTGACGAAGTGCTTCTAGCACTATTTCTCTGCGATCCGGATCAACTCTAGGGGCTGCTTCACGATGGCTATCTCGACCAGGAATACGGCCTTCCATTAATGTGGCGTGCGTGTTAGTAAAAACACGATGATCGGGATATCGATCGGGTTGTGGTCCACCTCGGCGTCGAAGTTGATCACGATACAGTCGTGCTGCTTCATGGCCGTTTCCATGAGCAACTCCATAAAAATAATGCATTTCTGCATATTCCCTTAACGTGTAGCTCATCTTTAACACTTTCAAGTAAACAAAGTCCAAATCACTATGCAGAACAGAGTCCAATAAACGAGCAAAGTAGTCAGATAAGTTGGTAGCAGGGTCCGTGGGCAAAGCGAGCGTAGTGGTAGAGGTAAAACGACGACACGAGTAGCAGAAAACACTAGGTGAGAACGACCGTTCCTCTCGCTTACACCGGTTCTGGCTACAAAGAGTGAGAGAGACAGCAATATTCCTTGTCTAATCCATTGTTATTCCACGTAAAAAAAGATAACGTGCAATAAAACTCCCGAAAACAGACCGCAAAAAATTCAAGATAATATTAAATAAAATTTAAAATTTCCAGATCTTAGCTTTTTTGCTGGTATGATTTATTTAGTTTATACAGTTTCTGCCATAATTAGTCTTAGGAATGATGAAATAGGCAATTTTTTTTTAGTCAATTTACTCTCAAAGGAATTTTCGACCTCAATACCTTTGAAGGCTGATTTCAGCGAATAAAGCCCTATTAAGTACTAGATTTTTTATATTCACACAAAAGTTAAGAGTCTAGCGCAGTTTTTAAAGTTACTTAAGAGCTATTAAATTGCCGGTTTAGATTTTCAATTTAATGTTGAAAATTCAAGTTTGACTTGCTCGAACGCTATATTCCCACTTTGAGTCAAAACTTTCATAGCTTCCATTGATGTTATGAAGCCGATTATTTTGTGCATTAAAGTACAATTCATAAAGATTAGGTTACAAAAAAAAACCTTAAAAATGTTGCAAGAATTTAAAAAAAAAAATTTTTTTTTCGATCAGGTTAAAAATTTCAAAAAATTCATAAAAAAATTCATTACTCGAAAACTATGAAAAATCGCGGCACATACATGGGGGTGATTCGGATACCTCTCAATGTGAGGCACCTAAATTTTTTTTTTGGACGTCACTATTCCGGCCATCCTGTATATAAAAAAAATATATACACACATCAAAAGTGTCTAGGGATCAAGTACGTTTAAGAGTATTGCTGCAATTAGGGTTAATTATATTAACTTTTTTGTATCGCTATTGATACTTTTTAGTGAGTTTTAACATTTAAATAAGGAATATTGTTTAAAATTCGATAATAAGAAGAAAATCGATTGTCAATGTGGTTTAGTATAAAAATGAGTTATAGCGTTTTGACAAAATCATTACAATATCTGCATCGGAACCGAAACAATTTACATTATTATGGAGAGACGACATCATTTAACCCGAGAAGTGATGATGCGAGCCGTCGGAATGTTGGAAGCTGGTTCCAGGCAACGTGCTGTGGCTTTCACTCTTAACACTACACAGAGCGTCATAAGTCGCCTCTGGACGCGCTATCGCATGACGGGCAGCGTGGCCGAGCGACATGGAGGACGATCTCGCATCACGACTCGCAGACAGGACCGGTATATCCAAAATACTGCTCGACGGAATCGTACCATGACCGCCATGATGTTGGTTACGAGGCTCCACAGCTCCTCAGGCTTGCTAATAAGCGATCAAACAATCCGAAATCGTTTACGTGAAGTGGGTCTGCGATCCCGAAGGCCGCTCAGAGTTCCACCTATTGCACCCTGCAATCGCAGGACCCGTTTACGATGGGCTCGCGAACACAGAAACTGGGAGGAAGAAGACTGGCGCTATGTGTGCTTTTCGGATGAATCCCGCTTCGGTATGAGACCGGATACAAGACGTACTCGAGTTTGGAGAACATCTGGACGTCATGAACGTTTGAGATATTGTCAGGAAGGTCATCCATATGGTGGGGGAACAATAATGATATGGGCCGGTATTTGGATCGGTGGAAGAACCGATCTCATTTGGATCAGGGGTAACCTCAATGCTCAAGTTTACGCAGAGAGGATTGTTTCAGATGTTATCATCCCTTTGCGAGGCCAGTTGGGTGATTCATTTCAACTAATGCATGACAACGCACGTCCACACACGGCTAGAGTCGTAACACGCATTCTTGCCGAAGCTCGTATCAACGTTCTGCCGTGGCCTGCTCAATCGCCAGACCTCAATCCAATTGAGCACGCATGGGATATGCTTCAAAGAAGAGCTGTGCCGAATATGCATACCGTACATACTCTACAACAATATTTTGACTTGTTACAAAACACATGGGCGGCCATTCCTCAAAGTGATTTTGATGAACTCATCTTAAGCATGCCAAATCACTGTAATTGTGTGATTCGTGTTAATGGTGGAAATACAGATTATTAATTTTCTTATCTTTACAATAAAAATAAGCAAAATCATCATTTTCGCCATTTTTTTGTCATTTAATTGACGCCGTTAATTTGAGTTTTTTCCCACAATTTGCAAAAACATCAATTTTAGTTTATTTTAATTAAATATAGGGGTAAGCGGTTAAATAAAACATAAGCATTAAAGTAAGAAGTCGTCCTGGAAGACTGGATTTGGTAAATATTGCTTAAATAATTTTTATTTCAAAAATATTCACTTGATCCCTAGACATTTTTGATGTGTGTAGTTTTAATTTTTTAGCAAAAGTATGAACAAAATCTTTATCGTAGTTTGTTACAGTGCACTTAAACAGGGCTATTTTATTCGAATGCCAGTTAATTATAATTTTTGCGTTAGCCTTACATTCTTTGCAAATTCCATTGCACGTTATTTTATTATTCTTAGAAATAGAATACTGTTTAAATATCCAACTGTGCAACTGCGTGTGCAATGGGATGAACCTCCCAAATCTTTTCGCGCAAAAGATGGGCGCACTGATGCTTAGGCAAGCGATGTTTCATTCTAAATACAGTCTCAGGTCCATGATTTAACTTTATACGTTTACTTAACGGTTGCTTGTTTGTTCGTTCCCACTGATAGGCATCAATAATAAAATTATAAATTACTGTTTTATTGACTGCTACTTCGTCCTTGTATTCCTTTTTTTATTGATTATCATTAGACAGAATTTTGTTTTGATCTTCATAACGAATAGCAGGATTATCAGGGCCACTGAAGAAAAAGTCGAAATTTTTCTTTACAGAAAGATATAGTGCCTGTGTGGAAATTTTATGTAATAAAAGGGTACTAATTTTACTAAACAGTGGATCGTTAGGCGGCGGTAAATCAGATTTACTGGAAATATACTTTTTTTGCAGTAATACATGTTTTTGCTGATCGAGTGGCACAACAAACTTCCTCCCTCTTTTCATTCTCTCCAAACACTACTTAAACCAGAAACATAAATATTAAACTCAATAATAGCAATAGCAAAACCTTTGAATCCTCAGATAAATTAAATTAAAACAATTTGATCCACTTATGACAAATGACACACATATTGGCGTTATGATGGTTACCTACCCTCTCGGTTTTATACATAAGCAACCTCACCAGACTAGTTCGTAGTAAGTGTTAAACGCCTGCCCTTTATAATGTGGCAATAAAGAACTAAAAAACAAACTTTTGCTTTTTTAGTTTAGGCAGGCACTTTTTCGTAAAATTTTCAATCGGTTATATTTTTTTAGGTAATGTAGATATGATGCGTATACCTTTAATTCGTGAAGGTAGCAAATAGGTAGCAATTATTGGTAATATATACTTCTGGAAAATCTGCTCCCTTCATGCTGAACAAAGAGGCGACCAGCCATCCTGACGTCAGAATGGCTGGTCAAAAATTTTTTTTGATTTCTCAGAATATATCATAGGTAGCAAATAGGTAGCAATTCTTGAATATACACTCAGTGCCAGACGCCACAGGCGACCAGCCATCCTGACGGTCACAAGTTTTTCGGAAATCACGTGCGTAAATTTCAAATTAAATTTGAAATCTACCATGAGCTGTCCGGTGAAGGAAAACATCGTGATGAAACCTGCACGTCGAAGAAGACTTACAACCCTCGGAAATCGTGTGAAATCCTCAACTCGCAGTGGGTCAGTGTGGCGAACTAAGGTCTAAACCCTCATCTGTGCGTCGGTCCGTGCCCAGCAACAGGATAGATAGATAGATAGATATACACTTTATTGCTCACATACAATAACAAAAACAGTACATAGACAACTTAAGACTAATGTGGGCAGGATGTATAAATGGGTTGATGAGGATGATGTTTATTTATAAAAGTTTAGCAAAGTGTATAGAGCATAGAAGCGCCCGCGAGTTGCACTACTTATATTATTATACTATGTCACAATGATACTCGTTACCTGCAGTTCTGGCGACGTTGTAAATATAGCCGCCTGTGCTTCAAGATCTCGGCGTACCGATCGTTCCCCAAGATTGGCGGAGCCTACTATAGTCCCCCATGGCACTCCACTTCCAGGAGGATAGTACCTATGAAAAATACACACTAATATAGAAAATTCATTTATTTATTTATTTTTAGATTCGACAACATGTAATCTATCTTCAACAAAGTGTTTCGAAGTCTGTTCTTTTGTGATCTTAACACAAATTAAAACATGAACATACCAGAGTCCTTTAGCATGGAATGTCCACCCTGGCCTTTCATACTCTAAAAGCTGCACTCTGCTTGCCTGGTTTGACTCTACAACTTTCTCCCAGAATCTACAAATAAAACAAAAGACAAAGCAGAAATGATCAAATAATAATAAAAAAATCTATATATAGCATGATTATGCATAATTTGTGCAATTGAATGAACAGTCAATGTCACAACAGTTGTACATTATAAAATCGAGTCTAAAATAAATGTTACTTCCTTGTTTCCATGACTCAAAAACTTTCGTAATTACAATTTCCTGTTTGTAATTACAGGACTTTTTCTTTTCTGTTTGTAGTATATTTTGTTTCCTCAATAAATAAGCCTTACTTACTTTTTAGCTATTAAAGAGTATGCATGTGGAATGCCCCCTGCTGGACCAGAAGCTCCAAGAAATCCATTAGCCTGCAATAAAGCACAACAATCTGTTTATTTCATTTTATCCTACAGAGTATCTAATCATATTGTAGCAAATTTCGCAGAGCGGCAATTGAACCAAGGTCCTAAAACACTCCCCACAAAGCTTAATCTTAGCACAAGACGTGTGGCTGCAGAACTAGGGTCCTGAGCAGCCAAAAGCCCTGATAGCTGCCTACAGTGCCAAACACTGTAGAGAAGTTCTGTCACTGGACAGGAATGGCATCAGAATGCTGACTAGAGCCTTAACAGTGAATTGTGGCTTGACAATACAAGACAAACACATAGAGTGACAAGAAAATAGAGAGTGTTGATTCTGCCTCGAGGCGGATAAAACTCCTATGCATCTCCTCACCCAGTGCTGCCCACTGATGGGCGTACAAAGTTCCATATGGGGTAGGCACAGGCCACAAACAGAGAACATAAAAACTGTCAGAGTCAGGAAAGTCCTTCACTTCTTACTAGCTCCAAACTGTAATAGGCCTTGAATGAAGCCACCTTAATAACAATAACCGCCTCTCTCATTTCAAAATTCAAACTTTATCTTGTAGGTTAGGATTGGAGATAATTGTCATGTTATAAAACTTATAACATAAACAATCATGTTTGTTATTATAGTAGAGATATATGTTAATAAGGATACCTACATTCGGATGCGCCATCAGCAAGCTTATATTAGCTTTGCATTCCTTCAGCAGAGCTGTAGCGTACTGATCGGTCAAGTTGAAATACCCAGTAGCTAATCTGAGGTAGGAGCTTTTAGGTACTGTGGCAAGGATGCGGTGCGTAACATACTCATCTTGGAAGATATTGAATTCGCCCATCTGTATTAAAGGAAACACCCATGCGTCTGCGGATTCTGGAAAGAGCACAAATATTTAGAACAGAATAGACTTTGGAAGGACTGTACTGTACATTACCATCGCACGATTTGAGGGATGGGAGGGAGGTGGGGGGAAGGGGGAGGGGAGAGGACCCTTTGTGCAAAGTTTCAAAGTTAGGAAGTTAATAGTTTTCAACATTGACTTACAATTATATGGACGTCGGGTCCGCGCTAAAAAGTGTCCGCACTTGTAAGGCGCTAAAATCGTATACAGAGCGCCAAACTCCGCTTTAGTCTTCATTTCTTCATTCATTTAGTCTACTGACAGCGCGATACTGCGATGACATTACAATTTAAATTTCGAATAGGTTGACTTGGGACATTTTTTTCGTGGTTTTTGTATTAGACCCGTCGTCCATTTATTTGTAAGTCAATGGTTTTCAAGATATTAATTTTTGAAAATTCGAAAAAAGTAACCTCAAAAAATCATGTTTTCGCACCAAAGAGCGGGGTAAACCCCTCCCCCTGAACTAATATTTCAATAATTTTTATTATCAAAACTACGAGTTTCCTAAAACTAATATTTTAGGATTACACTGCTAACTATGTAATCTATTCACCATATTAATTTCAACTCTCATCTCGTGCGATGGTAATGTACAGTTGAGCCCAAAAGACTACTGAGTAACTACCCAAACTCTTCAATGCAGAACTACAGTTATCAACCGAAGTCAAGTACCTAAGATGAGAGCACAGACCATAGAGCTATAATTACTATGGAGGCGGTCCTAACAGTATATAGAATTTTTAGTTGGTCCATGGTTATACAAATACAATGCATTTCGACGACATTGCAAAAAAACATATATTTGTCTCTTTTTTTCTTGTAGACATTTGCATTTGACGAAAGATATAAACATATTTCTATAATGCATAATTATGGCAACAATCGCCAACGCGCTTTGACATTTGTAGGTGCGTGCCACAATCCGCCATTTTTGCGACAGTTTCGTGGTAGTTCTGCTGTCAGATGGTTGTTTTCATTTTAGAAAATTGCGATTTCCCAAATTATAACTAGTGTTTAAACTCTCAAATTACGTAGGAGTGTGGAGAATCTACAGACCAAGATGCCTGTCTGTTGCATTTTAAAGTGTAGTTCGCGGAAAAGCAAAAATCAGCCTCGATTGACGCATCACAGGTTTGTACTTGGATTTCAAGTAATAGCTCATAAAATCATACAAATGCTAACGTAAAACTAATCACAACTATCAATTTATGTTTAAAGTATATGTATCCATTATTATTTTTGTAATAAAACTACTATCTATCTTTATTTTGCTGTTATTTGTTTTCCTAGTAAAATAGAGTTGTGCTTCAATCAAAAATAAGCTTTAAGAAATATGTTCAAAGTATAATAATATCTTTTACAGATTTCCAAAGAATGAAGGATTGAGAAGGAAGTGGTTAGAGGCTGTTGGCGAGGAAAATATTAACCCTCAGCACAAAGAGTGGTATCTTTGCTCTTTGCATTTTGAAGAAAGCTGCTTCAACAGAACTCTTGATGTCACAAGATTACG